GTATTACCTGTTTATGGCTGCATGCATTCTCAGTCACTGTATCTTATAAATAAAATAACACGTTTTTGGATTTGTATAGAATAATGCAGATGTAAGTTTCTGTTTTAAAAACAAAGTAAAACGTGCATGAAACTATTGACATGAATAAAGTGGTGTATAAATATTTCCATTTGTCTAAAATATATTGCAGATATAATCAAAATAACTGTGCGTATGTATGTGAGAGGAAGGGATGTGCATCATTATGTTGATTCTGTTCTGATCAGGGTTACATACTGTCTAGAAACTGTGACTAATTTTTAGAGATAAGAAACATAGCCAGCTGCCTATTCTGTTTCCTCCATTCATTCTGTCTTATAGACATTCAATTTATAGTGGAAAGATGAAATATAAATGTACTAAATTAATAAGCAAATTGTATATGAACAGCATGCATACGTGTTGATTACAAAGTTCATTAATAAATATCTGCTCCATTTTTAAAAAAAGTTATTTTAAAAATCTTTAAAACCTGTTATAAACCCAGGTATCCATATGAGCACTTTTAATGGAAATTTTATACACAAAGTACAAGAAAGGATTAGATTTGTCTCCAGTTGCAATTCTGGCCAGTGTATTCTTATATGAGTATAAAATAACTTTGGAAGGGCTTGCTGGCAATTGCACATCTTACAGAATTTAGTCTCAGAATTTTATAAAACAAACATGTCTTGCACTCTGTATCATATTATTTACAGAAAAAAATATCCTATTGTATGTGTCTCAATATGTAGCACATAACACAGTAAGTGTATTTTAGGGTAAATGGAATAAATCTTCATTATTCATGTTCACATGGTGGTCACTGTCTGTTTCAAGATAGTGTTGCATTTTTCTTTTTCTTTTTTTAAACCATTCTGTATAATTGTGTTCCTGTTGTATAAAAGACATTAATTCTGATCTAACAAAGTGCTTGTCTCCAGTCTTAAAGAAAAATAGGAAATGGCTCTTCCACTTGGCATTAGATTTCCTTGTCTATCCATTACATGCAGCTGTTAACCTTCCAAATTAATGGCTTCCCTTGTAAGATGAGCTCAATGACATCCTTGTATTTAGTATCACTGACCAACAAAAGATGTTAACTTTTCTGTTTAGCTTCCTTGTTACCCTGGCAAATGAAAGTGTTGAATGAAGCTCTAAGAATTCATAAAAGTACCAAGAGTTGTTTATAGGGTTGTTGTTTTTTCTTAAATAACTTTTCTGGGAGATTAAGATATTTTCAGTTTTCATTGCATGTGGAACAGATACTTATTTTTCCTGAATCAAAATCTTTGGCTAAACCATTTTTAAAGATATAGCTGTAGAAAACTAGCTTTGCAACTTATTGCAAAGCTTATAAAAAATGGGATCCAGGGAAATCTAATAAGTTAATAAGCCAGTCAGCTTAATGTCTGTTCTGTGCAAATTGGTGGAAATAGTAATCAAAGGAAACATAAATAAGCATATAGAAGAACAAGTCTTAAAATTATCATGGATCCTGTCTCACCAACCTGTTAGCATATTTGAGGGTGCCAACTGGTATGTGAATAGAGGTGACCCAACTGATGTTGTGTACCTAAACTTTGAATAAACTTAGCAGTCTTAGGATAAGGGAACCTGTCCTTTTATGGATTACTTCCTGGCTAAAAAAACAGAGGGCAAGTAACAGGAATAAATGGGAAATATTTCAATGGAGGGAAGAAAGAGAGTTAATAAAGGATCTGTGTTAGGATCCATGCTTTTATCTGTAAATGACAGTGACTTAGCAGTAAGCAGTGAACTAGCCAAGTTTGCAGAGGCTACCAAACTGTTCAGGGTGATGAACCCACTGTAAATATGAAATCCAATTTAAATAAGTGTAAAGTAAGACATATTGGGACATTCCTCCCTCCTCACCCCCAAACTTCAC